AGGGTTTGTTTTCTGGGGAATGTGTGTTCTGTTTCTAGACCAACTACTATACTTCAAAGTATAAAATGTTGACACTTTCTTAAATTCTGCTTCATACCTGGTTTACTCAATTGTATAATTTCTACTTATGGCATTAGTAACTAGAATATATTCAGTTCTGAAAAGCACTGAAGTTCTTTGTGTGAGCAACAAAGACTCTCAGAACTGAGAGCTGTAATGAGCTCCTTAGTGATGAAACCGTCACATATTTATGTAATACACTGCACATCATATACATGCCCCAGTTATACTACTTTTAAGTTTTAAACCAATAATAAACTAGAATCAATTATCAATAGAGCTGCATCAACCTTTCTTCTTTCCTTGGTTCTTAGATTTCCCTAAATGATGGCATCGTGTTCAATAGTTCTACCCTGGATGACTCTTCTCGAATAATACATTTGGCATCCAATGTAAAGAATAGATAAAACTCCCAGTGTCAATACAATACCACCAATGAAGCTGCCAGTTCCAAATTTTGATCCTTAATTTTCTTTAGAATGAGCAGTTGTTGTTAGTGATGTCACCAACCTACTGTGGGTTGTGGTCATCATGGATGTTGACATCTGGGATATGTTTTGTTAAGTACTCGCTGCTTTAGGTGTAGACTTTAAGGTGGTAGAAGCTGTATTGGTTGAGACTCCTGGTGTAGCCATTTTCAGAGTCTCTGGATTTCATGGTGGGAGCTGTCATGTTGAGAAGAAGGAAATTGTAGTGGTTGATGGTTTCACAGTGCTTTTGCTACTGGATTTGCTTGTATCGTTGGAAGATGCATTCTTTTTTAGGTTAGCACTTGGAAACTGTATTTGGAGATCCCTGTGGGTCAGTGACGCTGACCTGCAGCCCAGCACCTGCAGCACCCCCAGGAGCAGCGCGGGCAGGAACAGCAGTCTCGTGGGTCCCCAAGCTTGGAGGGAGACTTACTGAGAGCAACTTCTGAGGGACCAAACGGAGCTCCTTTTCTTCTCCTTCCCCTTCCTCCTCTTCCTTCTTCCCCTTCCTCTTCTTTCTGCTTTTTCTCCTTCCCTTTCTTCTTTCCCTTTTTTAAAGAGTTTATGGACCTAAACCCAGCAAGTGAATTTTCATTCGTTTATTTTTTAATTTTATTAGAACATTTTAAATATACATGATGATTTCATTCATTTATACCTGTACATGACATATCTTGATTCTTTTTGCCCAAATCTCCCCTCCCTTCAATTCCTCTTCCCCCTCATTTACAAAAGCTTTGCTTCAATTTTTCTTCTATTCTTTTTCTCCTTTCCCTTCCTTCCTTTCTCCCTTGTTCCACTTCCCATTTGATTTCTTCGTGTTTCCCATTTATTATACATTCTGGTCCTTGTTTACCCTTTCAGTTTCGCACACCAGAGAAACAACATGATGTTAAACATGTGTGTCTGATTTCTTTCACTTAAGAGTATGGCCTGAAGGTATATCCATTTATGGAGCATGTCTCAAGCTTGTCATTTTTTATAGCAGAATAATACCCCATTGTATTAAAAAAAAAAACCCTACATCTTCTTTACCCATTCATCCATCGATGGAATTTTGGGCTGTTTCCAAGATTTAGCTATTACAAATTGCAAAGATACTGTGATTAAAACAATATAGTACTGGCAAAAAACCACACAAAAACAAACAAACAAAAACAGACCTAAGGATCAGTGGAACAGTTTAGAAGATGCAGAAATACCTCCAAACACACTCAGTCACCTTATCTTTGACAAAGGGGCCAAACACCCACACTGGAGGAAAGATACCCTCTTTAACAAATGGTGCTGGCCAAAGATTAAAACTAGACCCATATCTCTCACCACGCACTAACTAAAATCGAAATGGATCAAAGATCTAAATATTAAAACAGAAACTATGTGCTGGAAGATAGAAGAGATAGCACTCTTAAAGACAATGGTGTAGGCAAAGACTTTATGAACAAAACTCCAATCACATAGGAAATATTACAAAGAAACAATAACTGGGATCTCATCTTATATTCTTGAAAGAAATAGAAATAATAATCCTACAATTCATATGGGAACCCAAAAAGACCCCCAATAACCAAAGCGCAATGCTGCAGGTGTCACAATACCTGATTTCAAAATATACCACAAAGCCATAATATAAAAAAAGAGCATGGTACTGGCACAAAAATACTTACATACCAGTGGGATAGGATAGAAAACACAGAAGTAAACCTATGCAACTACAGTCATCTGATTCTTGACAAAGGTGCCAAAAACATATATAGCCTCTTTGAGAGAGGACGCCTGGAAAACTGGACATCTATGTGTAGAAAATTGACCAGAAACTTTGAAACTCTAGAAGAAAACATAGGGGAAACACTTGAATCCATAAGGAGGGGCAAGACTTTCCTGAATAGGATCCAATAGCACAGGAAATAATAGCAAGAACCAACAATGGGACTACATTATATCAAAAAGTGTCTGTATAGTAAAGGACACAATCAACAGAGTAAAGAGACAGCTTGCAGAGTAGAAGAAAATTTTTGCCAGCCACTATCTAACAGAGGAGATTAATATCTGGAATATATTAAGAACTAAAACAAAACAAAACAAAAAAAAACAACCCAAAATCAAATGGCCAAATCAATCAACAAATGAATTGAACAGAGTATTCTGAAAAGCAGAAGTACAAATGGCCAGTAAGTGTATTCAGTATCTTTAGCCATTAAGGGAAATATACAAATCAAAATTACATTGAGGTTTTATCTCACCCCAATCAGAAGAGCTATCATCAAGAATGTGGAAAACAGTAAATGCTGTCAAGGATGTGGGGAAAAAAGAACTTTTCTACACTGTGTGTTGGCATGTAAATTTGTACAGCCACAGTGGAAATCAGTATGGAAGTTCCTCAAAAAAATAGAGCATTTGATCCACCATACCACTCCTTGATATATACCTGAAGCAATTAAAATAAATGTACTGTAAGGATACTTGGATACCCATGTTTATCATGGCACAATTCGTGATAGCCGAGACATGGAACCAGCAAATGCATAAAGAAAATGTGTTACATAATACACAATTGACTATTAGCCATAAAGACCGGTACTAGCCTCATGGGGTGGGGTGCCTGTAGTCCCAGTACTCAGGAAACTGATGCAGAAAGATCACTTGAGCCCACAAGTTTAGGGTAAGCCTGGAAACACAGCAAGACCTTGTCTAAAAAGAAACAAAAAAGACCCCAAAGGAGCAGGTGGAAGGTGAGCACAAAAACCGGAAGCCAGACCCAACAAAGCCACTGCCATACAGGGACTAGCATCCACTCCCCACCTACCTGCCTACCCTCTCCTCATTGTGTTGCCTGGGTCTCTGGGCTGTACTGGGAGCACACACAGAGGGATGAAGGTATGGCCCAGCCAACACGCCTGTAAAGCTTGGGGATTTGCAGCCACCTTCATGAGCCTTCATCTGGGCCCAGACTGCTGGTGCAGTGTCTGATTTTAATACTCTTTAGACGTACTGTTTTAGAAACAGTGCACATGCATTGTTAGATAATTTGAAAATATAAGTACACAATTTTTTAAAAAATAAAACATCACTTTCACAATATCTAGAGTAAAGTTTTTATCATATTTCCTTGCTTTTCTCCCCCACTCATCCTCACCTTTCCATTTCAGAAGGACATTTTTTGTTTTATTTAACATTCAGTCCACTATCACATTCTGGTTGTTTTTAAAGGTATAGTCAACAAGATCCTCTAATGGATTCGATGTGGGCATGAGGGAAAAGAGGAGTTAGGAATAACTTCAAGGTTTAGGGTTTGAGTGACTCAAATGGAGGAATGGTCATTAATAATAACATGTTTGGTGTTGATGAGATTAATCCAGTGGAAAAGGAGAGACTGATGATGTAAGAGAGAAAAGGTGGAATTTCTGGGACAATGTTTTTCTTTATGAGGGGAGAAGAATGGGATCAAGTACCAAACTGATGACACTCGCTTTTTTTAGGAGCATAGATGGTCTGCTTATTGTCATAGGTTGTGAGGCGAAGTATCTGGGTACAGAGGTCACTGTGTTGGGAACTTGTTCATTGCACAACATCAGTTAAGAATCAGAATGTAGACATAGGAGTGCAGCACAAGAGAGAACAAAACAGTAGAAATATAGAGGATTTCAATGGTGCTTTTCAGAAGAGAAAACACGATAACATGGTGATGACTAAGGGTTGAACTCTAGCTCTGGTGCTCAGAGAGATCCTCTGGGAGGAGTTGAGCTCTAAATGATGGTGACAAAAGATCAATTGACGGGACCCTGTGACAGAGGAAACAGAAAATGCAAAGGCATCCAAATGGAATCAGTTCAGCATGTTTGAGGAAAAAAGGGGGCACGCATAACAAATACAGTGATGAATGCGGAGTGGGGAAGCACAGAGGGGAAATGAAGTGGTAGAAGTGAGCAGCAGTCAGATAATACAGGTCCTAGCGGACGGGCAGAACCCTCTCTATTGCATATAGTAAGTGCTCCATAAATATTTGTTGACTGACTATTCCTATGTTTGTCTTCCAAATATGTCTGTGCTTCCTGTTCCCTGCTTAGACTCCTTCTGCTCCCCTAAAACTCAAAGCAACCCATTTTGCCCTCTGAATCCCCCATGCTTCAGGAAAAAACTCTCCTCACTTCTTTAACCTCTTTACCACACACTTCTTCCTTTCACAAAAATATGATTTTCCCTGCAGCCTAAAACAGATGAGGCTTCCTACCCCAGTGCTGCTTCTTGACCATGACTCTGGGCCGTCTAGTAAACCCCTCTCCTTTCCATGCCACCAGAGTAAGAATTTCTCGACATCTTGCTTTACCATCTGCTCACATTGCTATCATCTAATCTCTGCCGCCTGCTTTTGATTGCCTTTGAAAGGAAGTCTGAGAACCTACTGTTTTGGCACCTGGTAATGTCCAAAGTCACAATAGCAAGACAAAGGAATAACTGGTGGAGTCATACCTGTTTCTTAGCACACTGGGTATCCTACTCATCCCATAGTCCCAGAGCCGCTCCACTGCTGCAATAAAATAGTGTCGAGTTCTCTTTTGAAAGCTGCGGGGACCTTGATTTTCATCCTCACCATAAATCTCAAAATCTCTCTTGTTTTCACTTGAGATGGCATCATCATAGTAAATGTCTTCTTGTTCTGACTGAAGAGTAATAGAGGTTATTTCCCTTCGATGACGCTTCAAGACAAGTGGGTTTGGAGAGCACAGCTTTCCAAGCTCTCCTTGCTTTGCCCAAATGGCTTCTCCTTGGAGCCTATTCTGCCCATCATTTATTGCTACTACTGTACAATTGCTTTCACTGGGGATCAGAGACAAAATGGTGTCCTTTTTCTTAAAAACTGTATTTTTTGGTGACTTCTCTTGGGATCTCCACTTATCTTTTGGCATCTGGGTAGCATACTGATTCCCTAAAACAAGAGGACCCAGCAGCTTGGAGTTCATCTTTTCAGAGCTTTCTGTTGCACCTTTCAGAAAGGACACTTTTTCAGGTCCATTTGTCTTATTCCATTTTATAGTTCTTGCTGTTGTCTGAAGAGGAATCTCTCCAGTGTGATCCAGGTGAACAGGAGACTTATGGGTAGTTTCAGTAGGTAAAAGGTCTTCATGATGAATGGGAACTTTAGGAAGCAATTCAATTTTGCCAAATGCTTCAGGCAAGATTGGTTTTAGGAGAACAGTGTTTTCCAGTTTCTTGTAAGCAACTGAGTTTGTGGCACTTGTCCCCAAGGAACCAACCTTGCCTTGATTTCTGATTATCTCCAAGGGTAGGATAGCTAAAGAAAGGTTATTTACTTTGGGTACTTGTAAGAAATGACTGTCTTCTTGGGCCATTGCACTTTTTGCCTTAAGGCTATAATTATAGGTTAATGCTAGAAAATGAGAAGAGCTGCCTTGAGATGAGGTCCGTGTCAGATCTGTAGGTCTAATGAATGGAGCTGCTGATATCTTTGCAATGGGTGATGCAAAGCTCTTTCTCTGATTGACGCTATGATTCTTCACAGGAAACTCTGATAGAGGAGACTGAGGAATGGCCTTTCCTCCTTTCTCTTTGTAATATATCTGGGTCAAATATTTCATGTTTTTGGACCTTTGTGTTGAAGTGTCAGCCACAATTAGTCCCTTTTCAACCTCTGCTTCTTCTAGTGGGAATCTGAATTGTTTCAAAGAACGCTTACCACGTTGGACAGTAATATTGTTCTGGCTGGGATTAGGAAACATCCCTACAGTACTTAGATATTTGTCAATTATTTGCTTGGTTTGATTTCTCAAGCTTTCCTGGTGTGTTTCCTTTTCTTCCCTTCTTTGTGAGAAATGAGCCTTGTGAATCTTTGTCCCATTTGTTGAACTGTTCAATAAGTTGGTATCTGGAGGTGTTGGTGCATATATCTCCTCATCTAAACTTATGTTTTGTCTAGTACTCAGTAAGAAAAGTTTCTTCAGGAAATTCTTAGTGCCAGTCACTGTATGCACCTGAGGCAAAACTACATTCTCTTGGATTAATTCTTCCTTCCTTTTTATCTCTTCCTGAATTGTTTTTTGGTGATTGTGTGTATCATTTTCTTTTGCATTAGCCAAGTTAGTAAGCAATATGCTCTTGTTGTTTGGAATAAGCTCTCTGGGTCCTATGTCCTTTGTAAATTTATCTTCTACTACCACTTTATTCTTGTCTGGCAAGAAACTAGGTTCTTCTCCAGTCAATTCCATCCCTAAGGATAATAATTGCTTTGGACTAGGCCCTTGCCCTGAGTTCAGGGAATTCTTTCCATTGGTCCTTTTTTCCCAATTTGCTGGCTCTGGCAAGCATAGCATCCTGAAAAATAACATATCTGGATTTTCTTTATCTGATGGCACAAGACCTGCTTGTTTTTGATCAACTATTTCCATATTTTTTGATGAAATAGTTTTATTTGATATATGATTTAGCCTTAAAGCTGTAGTATTGTTGTCCATAAGCACTTCATCATGAATCAAAGAGGTCATTTTTTGAAACTCAGTATCTCTTTCTAATATAGTATCTTGCCAGACTGATGTGCTATTTTCAATTAATAATGTTGGTCTATCAATGTGAGTTTTTTGATTAGATGTTGAATAGTTAGATGTCGTGTTTATCTTTATCAAAGAGATATTAACTTTGAATAAAACATTATCTTTGATCAACAAATCAGGTCCCTGAGCTGTTTTCTGTTTCAGCGACATATTATTCTCCATCGATAACATATTTTTTCCTAGTGAACTTTCTTGAATATTCACTAACACTCCTTTTAACAACTTGGATTCATTATTTCTTTCACTCAAGCTCAGAGGTACACCAGACCCAATAGGGGGAGGTGACTTTTTGCCAAATACACTGGTGCTTAATTGACTACTACCTGGCATATTTGGGGATCCTAAGGAACTTGTCTCTTCAGGACTTGCTGCCAAGTGGTCTGCTAGAATTGTTGGTGAAACCATTAAATTATTTGGTGAACTAGAAACTTTTATATCAAGTTTTTTTAACTCTACTGCTATAGTTGTTCCCAAATTCTCATTCACTCTTAATTGGAGGCTTGGTTCGGGAGTAAATCCAGTATCTCCACTTTGATAGAGCTCTGGCCTTAAGTGTACCACTTTAGATGGACCTTCATTATTGTCTCTTGCTTCAGGTAAATAATCAGATAAGGATAACCTATGTGGAGCTGGACTCTGTTCCAAGAACATGGACAAATCACTGGAGAAAAGATTGTGTACTTTAACCATCTTTGTTCTCTCCCCAAACTGAGGATTAGTCTTCTCTGTGTCATTTTCTGGAATTGTGGTGGCCGTGAATTGCTTTTGCCTGGTGCTAGGTTGCCTTGAATTCTGGGAGAAGCTTCTGGGTTCAATGATATCACTCAGCAAGTATGTTGGAATATCTTCATATGTGTCCTCATAATAATCACCAGTGCTCCTGCTACAGCTAGAAACCTTCAGTAAGGCTGTCATGCCTCTGTTCCGAAAATCTGAGTTATGGCACCCCAGAACCCATAGACCTGGAGATGAGAAAGAACAAGACTCTGGTTACTCATAACCCACGTTCTAAGAAAGTTCTGTGTATAGATCCTCTCCCATTCTAGGCAAATGAAAAATATACTAGTGAAGATCATTATAACACAGGTCAGTAGGTTAAATCCAACATGTATAACATATAATAGTACTACAATGGTACTAAAAGTAGTTTTTGCACTGCTGCTGTTGTTAAAACTGTCTGCCTGTGGCCACAAGAAAGGGCTATGAGTAAAAAGTGATATAATATTGAGATAAAAGTGAAGAATGATAATGACCTTTATTTAATTCAGGAAGGTTTTTATACAGGCTAGCTTTTATTGCTATATAACAACAGGTTATATAGACTCAGATTGCTTGGGTGCAAATTATAGCTATACCGTTTTTCAGATGTGTGACTTTGAACAAGTCATATAGTTCTCTGAGCTCCAGTTTTCTTATTTGACATCATGTACGTGTTATGATTTGGAGGTTGTTTGTCTCCTAAAGGCCCGTGTGTTAAAGATTTGGTCTCCAGATTGCTTCTATTGGGAGTGGTGGAAAATTTAAAAGGTGAGACCTAGTAAGAGGTCCTCAAGTCATTGAGAGTGTAACCTCAGAAAAGACTAAGACAGTGCTCACATGACCTCTTAGTAATTCTCAAGACAGCCTTGTTATAAAAGGCTGAGTCTGGCCCCACCCAGATGTGATCCTTCCCTTGCATGTGTTCTACCATACACCATTTGTCATGGGGTCCTAAGCAGAGCCAGCACCACTTGGATTTTAGCATACAAAATTGTGAGCTAAATAAACCATTTTTTTCTTCATGGATAGCTTGCCTCAGGTATTTTGCTACAGTGATGAAAAACTGACTAGTACATTGTCATGTCTTGGTTAGGTCAGTCAGCACAAGGGAACAGCACTTATAAAAACCCACCATGGTACTAGCTATATTAATTTCTATCATGAGCAAGATTGGCTGAGTGAAGGAATTCAACAAATTAATAACAGGCATTTACATGATAGTAAAGTAGATACATAAAAGAGAAAACATATATTTACCAAGCTACCTATCAGGTACCTTAAACATTTCACATAACCTTTGTAGGTAAGATCTGAATTCCATCTGGCTTTAAATCAAAAGGAAGCCTTTATGAAAAACATATTCCACAGAGCCATATGAGATAATGGGATACTCATGCAAAAGGTTTCTATGATCAAACACACTTTGGAATAATTGCACATTGAATTCTGTGTGCAGTCAGATTTTCCATACAAAGGAAAAGGAGAATAAAAACACTTTCGAGTGTTCAAGGATACAGAAAATCTCTCTCTAATGCAGGCATTCTCAGGGAGTGATTACAGAATGTTCACTATCATAAAGGAGTGTCAATAAGACACTGAAATTAAAAAAAAAACAGGTACTTATCCTGAGGCATTTTAATGGAAAATCCCCAGGCAATAATAGCCACAGGTCTAGAGAGAACTAGTTCATACTGCAGCATAGTCAGACAGTAGCATTGTACCTTGCTCCACCTCAAAATTCATATTACATCTGAGAGGCAAGACACTAATCTATTTGTAATGCTGATAAACTCCTAATCTTGGCCAGGTATCTTATGCCTATGTGAAGAGTTTAGAAGATCAGTAGCTGAGGTATCATAAGGGGAATTATAATTCTTTTAATCTTCTTTGTACCTGTGATTATATCTCCTTTCTTAGTTCACATTTTGTGTATGTAAAATTTCTTACATTTTATTTGGTTATCTATTTTATTGACTTTTTAATGAAAGATTGTTTAAGCTCCTGGGTTGAGATTTATGAATTAACTATAATATTTTAAATTTATTTGTAGTCACACATGTAATACAAGAAGATGATATTGTTACAAATATTCAACGTATGTAGCTATAACTAAAGTTTCTCTTGATTACCATTCCAAACTCCAGGTGCCTATTAGAGTTAAGTCATATTACCAGTTTGGGTTATGCCATTCCATAACTATTTATTGGGGTCCATTTCCTGTTTTCTCACCCAATTACTATCTTCCTCAGGAAAGTAATTAGTTTGGTCTCAGCTACAATAGTAGGATTTTAGGAGATAAAACCTTAATTAAATTATTAACATGGGTTCCAATCCCAGTCTACCCTGCCCCAACATGGTTTTACATCATGGTAGAAGAGAGATAAAATGACAATAGAAACTAGAAATTGGACTAGGATTAGTTTACCTAAGTCTTTATTCTAGTTGTTAAGTTGAAAAGATAATTCAGATCCACCAAGTGGAACGAGAGTTGGGCTAAGAGCAAGTCACACATCCTCTCTGTTAACAAACTTTAGAACAAACTTGTACTGTGTTTGAAGATAAGGGAAATAAATAAGAATACAATCTATAGAAAATATTGCAGAATAAGAAGGAAACAAAAATCACAAAACGCAGAAAATACCTGCTTCTGAAAGCAACTGACTGTAGATTCTAGAGGAAAATGGGAACAAAAAGCTTGGCATACTAAAACAAACACAAGAAGATGGAGCTTCTACAATTTAAGGCAACAGAAGGTGTGCTACACAAAGTTAAATGGTAATTCAATGGGATGAAGTAAAAGGAAAGAATTATAGGAAAATGATACACCATAGAAGGTGACTTGATTTTTAATATGCATATTCCAATAAAACCTTATTTGCAAAACCAAGCAGCAGGCCAGACTACTCATGGACCATGGTTTGCCAACTCCTAAGGTAGATGGTTACTCGCTGTGCCTTTCATAGTGCTTTAAAACATGACCAGCTTTAACATGGTAGAGAAACGCCTGGCAACTATTTCTGCTTCTTTCAGAAATCATCCCAATGTATCAAAGACACAACAGAAACTTTAGTCAGTCTAGTAAATATCTGAAGCTATGAAAACACAAAGTAGAGTAAGTGTAGTCAATGTCAAGGAGGAATCAAAAAACACAAGAGTGGTTGCCTTTGAATTTTGGAAAAGTCCAGGAGAACATATTTTTCCAGAATAAGGATCACACTTTGGTATTAAAAACCAGCCATTCACAACATCAATAGGTCAATTAATACAAGCTGGCATCAGTAGCTTTGTTGGATTCCTTTCAACACAAGTCTCAAAAGGTGGGGAAGATGGAACCTGAACAAGTACTCATAGGCCATTTTTGCAGTATGAGCTTGCTTTGTAAGCGGATGAGGGGAGGAAAGATTTTCTGAAATGAAAATAACCCTGCAACTTTGATCTTGGTATACTTGGTAGAAGTTATCCTAAAAACTCATGGCCGGGCATGGTGGCACGCGCCTG